TTTGGCCCGCACAACCAATGAGGATGGGTCTATTCAAATAAGTAATAGACCACAAAACAGTAAATCGAAAGTTTTGCCTAATTTCGGCGTTCTCCTAAAATTTTGTACGGAATAATTCCATCGCCTCGCTTATGAGAGCTTCCATTTCTCGAAACAAGGAGAGAAGTCGATTTGCAGAAGGCCTTTGATTCAATTGAGATAGAAGTCACGGAAGCTCTTGATAATCAAGGAAACCCCACTCATTACATAAGGGTCTTTTTGAGCTGTGCAAAAGTTTTACATTCCAAATATCACCATTCTACAACGATATTAACACTGACGTCAAAAAAGAAGTCAGGCAAGGCGATACCATCTCGCAAAAATTATTTACCTCCACCCTCCAGAACGTCATGCGGACATTGTAATGGGATAATATGGGAGTGAAAATCGTTGGTCGGCAGTTACACCATCTTCGCTTTGCTGATAACATCGTCCTTATAACACCAAACATTAGCCAAGCGGAACGTATGCTTGACGACCTTGATAAAGCTTGTGGGAAGATTGGTCTTCGACTATACCTCACAAAAACGATGTTCATGAGGAACGCACTGGTTTCGTATGCCCCATTCACGCTCAACGGAACGAATATCTCTGAATGTTCCATTTATGTCTATCCAGGTCGGAAAATCAAGATGTTGAACGACTTAGCTCCAGAATTGAACAGAAGGAAACGAGCGCCTTGGGAAGCTCTCAAGAGCATCGAGGATGTAGTGAACATAGACAAAGAACGCCTGACTCTGTGTCCACCTTTTCGACTCAGCGATGCTTCCTGCCCTAATGTATGCGTCAGAAATCTGGTCGCCACGTATGCAGGATGAAAGATCACTCAGAGAGAAAGAAGAGATCTGAAGCCCTAATCTGCATTAGCGATCAAAAATCAAAGACATTGCACGGTACTCTACACTGTCGAAGATAAGACTGGCCGAAGACGTGATGCGTGTGGACGACAATCGATGAATAAGAATCATTAGTGACTCGACTCCTCGGGTTGTCAAACTTACTTCGGGTAGGCCACCGACCCGATGGTCAGAGCTCTTCACAAAAACGCTGGAAAGAAGATATTGTGTTCAAGAGTCCTTCGAGAGGGCAGAACCCACTGGACTACTCTTGAACACGGGAGTGAGAAAGGAACGCTTTACTCGCGCTCTCTTGAATCACTCGAAGATTAACGGGACGATGGATGATATGAGTGGTCAAGGGCAGTAACAGCAGAAATGGCAGTAACAACCTCAGCACCACACCGCGCAATCCGTGATGTGAGGACTAGCTGCATGCCCGTGTCGAAGCCAAGGGAAGTCCTGGACATTTTAAGTAACCTCCGTTGAGCTACTAGTGAGTAATAAAAGCCAGCAAAACTAATAAACTTTAAAAGTGCTTAGGAATCCGTTGGTCAATTGTTTCGACGTAGCAAAAAAGTAACTCACAGGTCCTTGCCTATTCCAGAGAATATCACGAATCACATTCCATCCTTTGTAAGAGAGTGTCTCGAACAGGGCCAGCATAGCATTACCCACGTGGTCAAAATTGAAATTTCGTGGATTCGTCCTGAAAGGGAACGAAAGTGAATCATACTACGACACAAGGTTGTGCCCTGAATTTTACAGAACATTTTAGTCCCTAGCAATTTATCTTAGAAAAATATAATTTTTACGCAGGAATCCATTTATCTTCCCATCTTCTGATGCAGGATAATTTGAGTAAAAGTGGTTGCAAATGGGTTATTACTACTTACCAACGAGGAAATGAATTAATCACAAAGAGAAAGCTATTCTCACACATAGATACCTGAAATCACAGCCGTCACGAATGAATTCCATCTTAGACTCATATGCCGATTGCATCAGAATTTGGTAGCGTTATTAAGTTCTTCTTAATACGTTACATCAGAATAGTCAGCTTAAATGTAGGAGAGCATCCCGCGCAGATGTTAGAGTGCTTTGCAATATATATGGAGTCCTCTGCCCGATTCCTCGCGTTGGCCAACCCAAATGGTCACATCTCCAGGATCGACAGATTGGTCTCACAGTTATCAGGGTGAACGGAAGAAACTACAATTAGCTAGGCCACAGCAAATCACTTTGCAGGTTAAATACGTGTTCATCTAGCTCTACGTGGTTACGAATGGAGTCGAATAAATGGACTATCTCTAAAGGATTGGTCAACACCGAGCTCCATTATTTCTATCTTTCACACTTTAGTGTACTTTTATTAATTTAGACCTGTAAAATAAAGAAAACCTAACTATTCAGTGAGATTTTGACGTGGTCATTCATTTTAATCCTCGTTTTTTTTCACTTTCCAGCTATCTTTACTTCTCATCCTTTTTATTTACTGCCTATTCTTCTTTAATGGCAGGGTATGTTGCAAAATATAACTTGTATAATGCTGAGATATTTGCATAACTCCGGACCGCAGGTGTCTGCGGTGGGGAACGAACGCGCTATTGTCCTTTCCGGAGAGTAACGCGTTCACCACCACACCATGAGGGTTGTTCGTTTCGCCTGTCTCTCAACTAGTTCTGTCGATCACTTGCCACCAGCAATCACCTGTCAACGGGATTGAACTAGCTGAAAGACAGACGAAACGAAGGACCAGCATGGTGTGGTGGTGAGCGCGTTACTCTCCGGAAAGGACAATAGCGCGTTCGTTCCCCACCTCAGACACCTGCGGTTCGGAGTTTTGCAAATATCTCAGCATCATATAAGTTATATCTTTACTTCATTCAGTTGTTATAATGTTTTTTAGTAAAGCAGCGCTCAGTAAGGAACTTTGTGTTAACAAACCAAACACGAGGAACCAGTATTTTCGGATGCATATCTTCGTCATCCTTACCGTACACTTCTAATCGAGTGACGAAAATCTTCTGCCAAAAGATACCTGTGCAGTTTTCCTGAAATGGTGAAGGCGCTTCGAAATAAATTCCGAGTTGACAGCATCAATATATTTATAGGCTACTTGAAAAAACTTTTATATTCATCTATATTGTAGGAGCTAGAAACAAAAGAACAAAGTTTTTTCTTCTTTAACGGGAAGGGGTTACATTTAGAGTTTAATCAATAAACATCCATATCACTGTCGGTGTCTGATGGTACTCACCCTCGATTTGATAGTCGGATCATTGCATGAAGCCAGTTTTCCTCCAACAATTTGTACTCCGAAGCTTGCGAAGATAAACATCACAACGATCATAAGAATTGTTACCTGAAGAGTATAAGAGTTTTCTTTCTGAAGTCCTTCATAACAAAAAGGAAGTCTTCAGAGTCAATGAGTGACCAGCAGGATCTCTTTGAATCCACGAAAGAACTCCAGTACAACACGTCTGATGTGAGGGACGAGCGTGTAAACCCTTAGAGGTCTCATCGCACGGAATATCATCAGCAGTTGAGCGAACGAGTTGATCTCGACGTGACGAGGCATCCACATCAGAAACGTAACGCTCGTCTGAAGGTCAACATTACCAGCAAAGAGGGAACTCGTACAGAGAATACGAAAGAACTGTGAAACAGTGAAAATGAACTGATCCACATCATATGATTGTCAGCGGTTTAAATGTTGACTTAAAAGAGTCTCTTTCTCTTTTTTTGGCGCGTCTCTAAAGTAACACCCAACTAAACGCATCCTCGTCATTTCACTGTTGCTAGAAAACTGCCAGGTTTTTACTGTATACTCAATAGAAGTTGATTCTTCTCTTGCCATACAGCGTTTTAACGATTTAGCCAAATCGATTTTGTAAGTGACCGCACAACTTCTCATATGCGCTTACCAAGGCGGCTACAATGAACCTAACCAATGAATAAATTGAGGCATCATTAGATTTCATCACCGTGTGGGCTACTTGCTCTTCTCTTTCTATAAATATGTTCATGCATCTAACGGCTCCCACTTTTGAAGAAGAAAACGGCGAAATTACTCAGAGATAAATATGGAAGCGAAAACATACAAAGTATATGAACATCGTCATGACACCGCCAACGTCACTAACAACGGCTTTTGGTGTGAAAAACAAGCCGTTTGCGACGATTTTCACCAACAACTCGAAGGTCATTGTTAACACGAATACATAGTCGGCGATCTAAATGGAAAATGATTCAGACGCTTAGAAACGTTGATTCAAAGTTCCTAACAATTACGATCGATCCACAAGGAATGCTCCCATCAATGGAAGATACCGTTAGATTACAATATTCCTTTTAGCACAACGGAAAATCATGCCAAAAACGCAATCTTAATCAGGCAAAATCCGAAGGAACCATTAATGAAAACCAACCACAACGATGCTGGGATTTTGGTAAAACTTGGACCTGCACGCCAGACCGAACCACGATTACCCTTTCTGGGTGTCAGCGCACTACATACTGCACCACGCAGAGCTTCACTCTGCGTTTTTCTCAGCTAGGCATTTGGTGGAAAACTGCTGTGAGGAACGCAAACCAAGAGCATCAGTGGTGCAATGTGTAATACGCGAGCCCCGGAAAGGATAATCGTGATCCGATCTGGCTCGGGATCCAAGTTTTGCGAATATCTCAGCATCGTTGTGGTTTTATTTCACATCATACATTATTAATGAGAATCGTCAGATTAAATCGATCTCTAAGACGACAAAGATTTTCCTTCTATGAAAATTTCAAGAGTGTCACTGGAAGTTGAGGAATTGATCAATCACTTGTAATGTGTTATGCATTTGAACCCACTTCTAAAACAATGATTAAGTTTGGAAGCATATTGGGCCTATAATTTGATTTATGACGGCCTATCGATCTATAGAGTGTTTTATCCTTCTAGACTAGCCTGCTACCAAATTGACGACGCCGATCGAATCGAGGGTTGTGTTAGACTTCGTGTAAGATCTGGACCAAACCTCAATGCACGCTGCAAAGCACCCCTCACCATTGCACTATATGCGCCTTTGAGCCTATTATAATGTTACTTATATGCCTTTTGAGTCTGAATACTAGAATAATTACCTGAAGGTAGAGATTATTCATCACAAGGTTCTCTCCAGTGGTTGGCCATGGGCTTTCGAATAGCATTGAGATGCAGGAAAAGATCGTGACCGTTACCATTCCCCAATCCAGATACGGCATGATTCCGATGAGAGTGCTGAAAACATACCATATGCGCACTAAGCATTTTTTTCTTGAGCATTTCTTAAACTGCGCATGTTCTCGGAGCACTTTCCTTGTGCAAAGTTCCAAATAAAAGTGCTCAGATCTCTCTTTTAAATCCTATGCTTGGTAATAATATGTTCGTGCTCTTCTCAACTATCCGTTGCCACCATTCAGTAACACAGAGAAATAATGATTCATATTTCATCTTTCCCATTTGTTTAGACTTTTCTCTCATTTTTTTCTGGTTGGGCGTTTTGAACACTTTTCTATTTCGCCATATCGTGTGCGCGCTCGGTGTTCCTATATCTCGAGCTATGATGCTCAGTAACAAATAACTTCTCCGGTTCTCCAGCTTAGCAAAGAGTTAGACATGTCTATCCCAAGGTTCATCCAAAAGTAAACCTCTGGTAGAAGCCACTATCGGTACAGAGGAAAAGTGGTTGCAAAGCGATACCTTGGTCCTCCGTCCAGAAGGACCAGTGGCTTTTCGAGGTAACTACTTGGTAGCTTTCGAGCACAGCTACCTCGGAGCCCCATCAAAAATAAAGTTTTGCCGACCAGCAAATCACAAGTGTAAATGGCGCGCACCAAGTTTTAGATGATAGGCAAGTGTGGATCTCGAGCCTTCTTAAGATTATATTTCCACTAAAGGTTCCAAAACTCGCTCTGAATTGCACAATTGAACGCGCTTCTGTTGATAGATTGACGGAGTCCGTGAACCCCGCAAGTATTTCTTGCCTTTTCTTCATTTTCATTTCTTTAAGCGCAAATTTGAGAAGGACAAACCGATTTTTATCGAGTGAACACAACTTACCGTATCTCCTTGAAACGTCGCTTCGTCTTAGTGCTACCGTTAGATCCGTCATCGCACGAATCGTATCTCGAGTGGACGACCTGAAGCAATGAACATCAAGTGGAGATGCAATAATGGTATCGAGGAAGAATATGTAAGAGACTTGGAAATTTTAAACCATCTAACCGCATAAAGACATGAGAGAGCTACTTTATGGTGTTGAGTCCTAATAGGTCGAGAAAACTTTTTTATTGACACCTTATGGATTCCGTAGACACATCAGGTGCCTTTTAAAGAACAATAACCTATTTATAGAATCATAAGAATCAAATACCAAATGAAACAGAAAAATTTTGATTGCCTATCCAATTCTATTTTCATACCTTTTTGCAGAATTCGCGCAATCTGGACGCTCTTCCGATAACAAAGAGAGGACGATCGAAGAATGGGTGATTCTCCCTCATGTCCTCCTCGATGCGTGTTCTAGACATTGACAATCATTGAGAACGACGGAGGTTGGATACTTTTACGTTCTATTAAGCCCGATTTCAACTCCACAAGCATTTGACTGCGTTATAACATCAAACCAAACTTATAAAGCATTAGAAACAGTAAAATAGAAAACGCATAATGATTGTTATATTTTGGAAAGCTTAGACTCAAAAATGGCAAGGTATTTGGTGAAGATAAGCACCAGTTGTAATTCGTGCCATCGAGTACACAAAGCACAGCTGGCGTATTTCATTCACATCGTATAGTGGTTCCACACTTGCAAAAGGATTCGTTGCTTCGGAAAAAAAGTTATTCGAAAGACTGAAACCTGGTGATCTCGGCTAGATGACGTTTCTGTTGCAGAGCTCGGATGTCGATTTCGCCCTGCTTCAACTCCTTCTTTGGCGCCGAATCGGACGGAAACGACAGATCGCCGTTCTCGTTGTACATCTGCTTCGTTCGCATCGCGTTCTGCAGGAACTTTCCGCTCACCGACCGAGACTTTCTGCAATTCCGTTACTTTATGAACGAAATCTGTTCGCTATAGCAAATCACTGAAACCAACATGTCGCTAACAAGCGTACTGTTTTAACTTTACAACAGCGTCAGTATGAGAGTTTCTCTTCAAATCTAGCTTTTTGCCAACAAAACCACGGCTCGTAGGCAAACTTAAAGTTTATTTTGAGTGTTCTGAATCAGTTGGAGCTATGTCGAAGTCCACGATATGGGAAGTTTGCAAGTGAAAATGTTGCTAACTAGGGTCAGCAAAAAAAAGATTAAGCACATTATGTGAAAGCTGAGGTGCCTCCTGTGTGCGTTGAATAAATGGAGCCCATTGAACAGTACTGGTTCGAGACAAAAATGTATGGAGACGTTATAAATTTTCCTACTGACCACTCATGGGGTTACAGGCGAAACCGATAACACGTTTGCCTCATTATATCAGACCAAAAGACCACATTATTGATTCCAAGGCTAAATTTTGCATCACAGTGAAAGATAGACTGAGATAGAAAAAATAAGGTAGTCAGTAAAAAAAAATAGAATTTTTAAGCATTTCACTACGCAAAACTTATAGGATTCAGTGATTGGCATGTTGCGACTAGTCAATTCTTATGCCTTGCATAAGCCAATAATAGTAATCAGTGTCGACTGATAGAAAATCGCATCTTGTAGCTTTAGCTACGGACAGTATATTATTTTCATTGGTGCAGGTGAAAGAAAAAATGATCAGATCATGAAAAAAATATTAAAAATCGTTTGTCGATTGATCTTGCATTACTGAGATGATACGTATAACACATCTGGGCAAACATACGCGAGCACGTTCTTTCCTGAGGGCAGATTTCCTGATGAACGGGTTAGATGCGGCAAGAAGTTGAGTGAATGCGTGACGGATTGGCGTGTACGATCAGAGATTCTGAACAAGTGCGTCAGAACTACAGAGAGTGGCTTGCTCGAATCTATTTCAATTTAAGCACAAAGAAAAACGACTTTACAAAAATATTTTAGTAAACACCGTTCATTTCTACAGTTTTAGCAATATTTCCAGAAAAATTCATATTTAAGGATATTTTGTTCCGATAGATGGGATACTAACCACTATACTACCGAGGAGCTTCATTTTTTGCTCGCTTCATCAATAGTTCACCATATCAGGTGTGGCTGGTTAAATTTCTAGGTCTCAAACTGTTAGGTAGACTAGTGGAATCATACCTCGTCATGACCAACCCAATCTGACAGAGAACTTGACATTTTTGCTTCGAATTACAGATAAGCGTAAATGTATGCCAGAAATCGCTGTTGTTCTTAGAGTAACCGAGTTGCAAAATGAACAACCTCCTTCCGATAAACAACAACAGGCAGATGTCTGTGATCAAGACCAGGTCAATCAAAAGTGGGAAATTACACGGCTATTTAAAAGCACGAGAACTATGTTCAGTTAATAAAATGTCAGTTTGTTGATAGTTGGCAGTACGAAATTAAGTGTATAAGAGGCAGCCCGAAGCTCCGAAGTCTCGTGAAACATGGAAGAGTTCCATGTGCACTTTGGGAATGAACAACTCTGCGAGCTCCAGGAAGGCAATCTGTGAATACGCGCAGGCAGTGCATTTCTAACAAAGTATGAACGATTTGAAATTCTACCATTATTGAAGATCCCTGATAATTTCACTATGGTTCGCTTGATACACTTGAAGGTAAGTTCATTTCATATGGCGAGCGTATGTGACGCAAAAACGAATCATGAAAAGTATGTGCCAGTTACGTAAGAAAGCGTGGCTAGTGCAGTGGCAAGAGGGTTGTGAACTAATCAAGCCCTCTGTCTCTTTGAGGTTGCCAAGTTGGCACAAGACCCTGCCAAGGCAGGACAAATGCACCAAAAAATTTGACACCCAACTAGTAACTTCTCCGTATTAGTCGGTGCCGATCACAGTGCTATCTTCTTTCTACTGTAAGTCATAAAAAAATAGATGGATCCATAGACAACTGGACAAATTACCAATGATTGTAGTGTGTAATTAGTTATCGTAGCTTACCCTATAGCGGTATTATAAACAGTATGGCTTACTAAGCTAAAGAACTCTTCGAAAAAGTTTTTAAAAAAACGCTTCTGTTACTAACTCAAGCAGACGGGAGATGCTCATCTTCAGAGAGATGCTCCCGATATGACGAAAATGCGGTTCCTCCTGATAGAACCTCCGAGATGTCGCCAGTTGCATCAGATTTTTTGGGCGGTCTGCATCTAAATAGAAAGCATTCCGAAATAATGTTTAACGTTTTGTTTTCTGCCTTCTATAATTTTCATGGCAGGTTACTAAGCGAAATACAACCACAACGTTGCTGAGATATTTGCAAAACTCTGGATAGAAATAGCTGAGAGACGTGCGAAACAAAGGACCCGCATGGTGCGGTGGTGAACGCGTTACTCCCCGGAAAGGATAATAGCGCGTTCGTTCCCCACCATAGACACCTGCGGTCTACAGTTTTGCAAATATCTCAGCAACGTTGTGGTTGTATTTCGCTTAGTAACCTGCCATGAAAATTATAGAAGGCAGAAAACAAAACGTTAAACATTGTGATTTCAACTACAGCCATAGCTTAACTGGGTTCTATGCCGATTTGCGCTCCCCAGATCAACCCCGCTGACGGGTGATTGCTGTGGCAAAAAGATCGATAGAAATAGCTGAGAGACGTGCGAAACAAAGGACCCGCATGGTGTGGTGGTGAACGCGTTACTCCCCGGAAAGGATAATAGCGCGTTCGTTCCCCACCATAGACACCTGCGGTCTACAGTTTTGCAAATATCTCAGCAACGTTGTGGTCATAACACTTAGGTTTAATTTTTTCTACTTTTGTTCAGCAAACACGAAGTGCTATTTTTTTTTTATTTACGTACAAGCTGACGTTTCGGCGGATTTGGTCTTCCTCAGAGCCTGGAAAGGTCAAGTTGACAGCGACCTATTCGGCCAAACACCTCCATAACCAAACAGGAAAAACGATAAACCAAGATTTCAATCACATTTAACACAACTCTGCACACTCACCGCTTTCTATGAGTCTTCCAGTGAGTATGTCGTGTGAAGACCAACCGCACAGAATTCACATAGAAGCGTAATGTGCTCTTCCCATCAGAATAAATAGATGGGAGTAACGTGGGAGCTACTTAGGTTTAAATTGAAGAGATAAACTTTGAAATAAAGCCAAAATCGAGATTATTTCTGATAACTCGACAGTAAAGAGAAAATGTAAAATATACCTTTCTACTTCTGTTCTTCTTTCTGTTTTTGCTGAACAGAAGTGAAAAGAATTAATCAATCAATGCCGAGGTTAATAGAAAATCGGACGTAGGAGTTACTGTAAAATATGCTTTGTCGACTTTCTCAAACATAAGACGGAGCTCGAAGGGGGAACGCCAATCGGCACACATGTGCGTATTTTATATCACAAAGTGTGATCCATGCTGCATGGCTCAATTTTGTCGACGCCATTCTGTCTTGATTTAAGGTCCACCATCACGAAGGCTTTTTTTTCGATCATACTATATTCCACTACTTCAAAAATTTCCATATTGTCTGATTCCAAGTAGATAGCAATTCTTTTGCGTCACACATTTTCTTGGCCGGCAAAGAGCAGCTTCGCCACGTTTCTCATTTCCTCTTCGTCGGAGCGCAGTGAATGATTTCCTTCGCTTCCTTGGTCTTATTGTTCACCACCATTTCGTCCGTAAGCGGCAGCGCTGTTCGTAAGTATTCATTTCCGATTATTTGTGTATCTGTAGTGTTTCGAGGACCGATGGCTTGTCTACTCTAGGGGTCACCTGAAGATCCGCTCTGTCTGTACGACCTTCATTTCCTGTCTGTTAACTTAAGATCTTCAACAATGGAGTCCTATCAGCGCTCAGATTGACATAATACACCACGTATAACACATTTTATTTTGACCTATCCATATTTTCTGAATTGAAAGAAGTTAGCATTTTAAGACGTAAGTAGCCGTTTCCATTGACATAAATGCCTATTATTTCTGAGTCTTGTTTCTTATGCCGCAGAAAATACGAAAAACTTTATCGGAAGAATTTTTAGTGCATGCCACCCGCAACAAAAATTAAGCATATTTACAAGCTGCCTCCACATCAGATTAGGCGTGGTCGCATATATATGAGGCATTACGGACGAGTTTTCCCGTACTGTGAAAAACCTGCTTTTTTGATAAGTTCGTCACTTGTTCGAAACTTAATGGTATTTCTGAGATAACTTCGTTTTGACCTTCAAAAATTTGAGCTGGCTGTTCAGTTTTTAGGATATAGTGAACCAGTCCGAATGGTTAACCACAACTTCTCCCTTGGAAATTCGATTGGTTTGGCGTAGAAGTTGCGATTTCTTTCAATCAAAACCGCCATAAATTTTTCTACTTTTTGCAATGTAGGTGGTCAATATTGGATTTCTCTACCATCTTTCCAATACTGCGTTATCACCCATTCATTTTAGGAATTTTCAGAAATTCCAAGAAAACAACTCTTACAGATAAATTCAAAGCATCTGCAAAGATGTCACAACAGGAAGTGAAGTGAGGACGGCGAGCCGTAGTGCCTAAGCCAGGTACCAGATTCTTGTGCCGAATCCGTCTGTCGTGATGAAGCACTGCACTCAAGCTATTCTTGTCTACGAATTTTGCTCGTTTCTGGGTTTCGTTTATCGTCTCCAATCTGATCGGCTGTGAACAGCACTTGTCGGAATTGGAACCGCCTGAACCGAGAGCTCGGATTCATATCGTTACCCCACATTACATAGTTCTCTCTAGTGCCGTTAGAAACATGTCATGACTTTTACTGGAGTTATGGGAGCTTCAATGAGCTTAAACCATGGTCGTTTGCTTGATTTTGATGACTAAATTGAACGTTTCCCTGCTATAAAGATGCGTTTCAAGGTGGATCAATATCGCACTTGAGATCGCTTCAGTGTATT